TGTACACTCATTCTTCCCCTGTTGTTTTTCTGTAGAGGTTACAATAAAAGCACTTAAAGAGAAAATCCGAGAATATGAACAGACCCTGAAGAACCAAGCGGAGAATATAGCCCTTGAAAAAGAACAAAAGTTACAAAATGATTTTGCGGAGAAGGAGAGGTGAGTGTGCATGTGTCTGTCTGTAGGTATTGTAGAGATGTATTTTGCTGTTTAATCTTCCCAGCCAGGACTCTCTCTTCAGTGTGCTGAGACAGCTCATATATTGAGCGATTCGGGTGATTTATGCGTTTGACACGGAATCATTTGATACTCAGCTTTGCACAGAAAAACAATCGTGAAAGTGGGGAAGTAAAACAAGGACAGATTGTTTCTTCGCTGTAGTCTTGCGGGGGGGGGGGGGGGGGTTCAGGAGGTTGCAAACCTGCTTTTCTTCTTCAGTGGCTGTATTGTCCTTTGTGACACTAATCTTTCTCCATTAGCCGACAGGGTAATTCAGTCTGCCGTGTGCGCTGAGCGTGGCACAGCACCGTTGTACAGGCTGTGCAACCCTGGGCTGTTTAAGATGAAACACTCTACCCAAGGGCCAGGGTAAAAGACGCATCCCCCCTGCTCCTGTGGCAGGGTCTCAGAGAGGGGATGTGTTCCTCGATTATCCAGACAGGGTTTGCATATTCGTACATCTCAAAAGTGAGAAGCACTTTAGTTCTTTATCGTTCATTTTTGGAAGCATCTTGGAAGCATTTCTACTCTTTTGCAGATGAGGAGGAAATGTTTGGATCTGGTAGGTTAGTGGGCAGACAGATAGGGTGTGCCAAGGCCAAGGGTCTTAAGAGGGAGTTCTTTCAGGCTGCCTCTCCCACCTCAAGAATTTAGTTCTCCCGTGGACCAGTAACACTGAAGCCCTAATATGTTCAACTCAATGGGGAAGCCCTTCAGTTTACATGAGCCTTTGAGTTGGTGGGTTGGTTGTTTAAGTTCAGGTCTGAGTGGGAAGAATCTGCTGGTAGATGCAAAGCTTTTTTTTAATTCATCAATATCTATGGTTTCTTTTTGATAAGTAGCGTGTAAGCAGTGACTTTAACAAGTGCCATTTAGATATCCTTACAAATAAAATGAAGTGGCAGGTTGTGGAATGCAAATAAAAGCATGTATAAGGGAGGTTTTGAGTTCTCAAAGTATGTAATTTGGTATGAAGGGAACAGACGCATGCTTCTCACTATAAATAGTAATTAACCTGGTCAGCAGTGTTGGAAGAATAAATTTATGCACCCTATGGAGTGCAAGTAGGATGCTGGTAGTTTCATAAGCCGTTTCACAATTCTGAAACCTGCAGAATATCTTAAAAGCAGTGTTCTAAAAAGCAGCGACTCCTGGGAGATGTTGGAGCAACTCCCTTTCCGAGATGAGTTTTGTAACTCTTGTAGTCGAGGAAGGAGGGTAGCGACTGCATGGCCAGGTGACGATAAAACATGTGTAACTCACCCAAACAAGAAAATATTGCCCGTGGACATAAGAAAAGTGAGCATATTCAAGGTTTGCTCATGTTACATCAAAAATATCAATGGGGGATTTGTTTTCCAATATGCGTGTTTTCTTACAGAGTAGCTAGTACTGTTGCTGCACTGGGCAACCATTCCAGCTGTGCGGAAACAGCTGCCGCGTCCAGTCACTGTATCAGCTATGGCAACAGATTTCTTCATTGTGACAGTAAAGTGGAAATGGATCGTTCTTCTTGTACTAACTTTGTACAACAGAGGGTGCTTGGTGACAATTTTCTTCATGTGTGTGACATTTCCAAAACAAATTATGCTCAAGAAAACCTTCCACCGAAGTTGTCATTTATATAGCAGTCAACTCTTGTATAATGTTCACAGCTTATGTTATGAGGTGGCTACACTGTTAAAATTTTAATAAGTGGGACTGCAGAGTATGAACAGTATTGCAATGTGACATGATTTATGGGTCCCACTGAAGCACCTTGTAGTCTGCGTGGTGTTGTCAGTTGTCTGATTACAGCTGAGACGTTTAATCACTCTATCTTCCAAATTTGCAAAATACGAGTGAGTTGTTTAATGTGATTACGAGCTCTGTTCTCACCTCTTCTCTCCCCCTTACAGAAAATTGCAGGAGACACAGATGTCGACAGCCTCGAAGCTGGAAGAAGCCGAACACAAAGTTCAAGCTTTGCAAACAGGTTTGGCATCGCTGTGCTGACCTATACCAATGATCAGGCGGGAGGTGGGAGGATAGAGAGCACTAAGTGCATCGGGACTGCGTGTGAAACAGCTCTTGCAAGTGCAGAGAGATCCAACAGAGCTTGAACCTGCTTTGTGTATTGGAGCTTTTGGCCCCACACCTTAAGCGAACGCTGGTGTTGCAGCCAGCCTGTTGGCACAGACAGCGGACAAGGCCGAGCACAGGCACGTGCAGCGTTAGAGCACCGCTGCAATGAAAGCAGGCCGTGGAGCTTTTCATCCGTGTTGTATTTTGCTCTGGTTTCACACATTCCTGAACTCTGGTAAATACGTGTGATCTGGGATCGGTCCGAACCCAGTTTCTACCAGCCTGCCTTGCCTGTTGCTATGACTTTGCCTGGCATTAATTTCCATCTCTGCATACTTGCAGACTCCAGGTCTGCACACATTTCGTTTTGTTTACTGTGAGAACACAAATTTTATTCCCTGAATTGCTGCAGTAAATACTTCAAATTAATAAGCCATTTAGCCAGCTTAATCAGAAATTAATAACTCTAGCTTTGTTAAGCAGAAACTGGGAGGTTTTGCATTGTAAAGGAAATACCGTAAGAAATTGTGAAAAACCAAAAGCTATGTTTTTTCCAAGTAATAATGGTTTGCCTAGATAGAAAGACAAAGCAAAGAGTTTTTCATCAGGAGGTGTACAGCTTTATTTATGGCTGGGTAAGAGAAAAAAGAGTAGTCTTTTTGCTTTCCACTGCTGTTACAGTGCTGTAATGCTTCATGTTTATGCCTTTTAGCCTTGGAAAAAACCAGAACAGAACTATTTGATCTGAAAACAAAATACGATGAAGAAACTACTGCAAAGTAAGATTTCACTGTTTTCTTTCTACGTCTTCCTTCAGGGTATCACTGCTCCTTTGTTTTGCATCTGTCTGTTGGAGACAGATGAGATGGAAGAGGTTCAGGAGTCCAAATGTGTTGGAAAACATGGTCATAATTTGGCCTCCTATAGAGAGATTATTAGTTTTCATATCTTTTTCTGCCCAACAAGACATTTCCTGGCACAGATGCTGCTGCATTCCTGGTTTCATTCTCAGGTGCTGCATCTGCTATGTGTTTCTTATCCTATGTATCTCTTGTATTTTATTTAGAAATGGGGCGATTTCAGAAATGAGATATTTATTGTGATCTGCCAGTCTTGGTGAAAATACAGTGTAGTTTAGTAAAGGATTTCTGTTTCACTGTTAGGCACCGTGGTTCTTTCTGCTTTTGGGCTAGCAGTCATCACTGTCAAATTCCCCCCAAATTACAGAGAGTAGCATTTTTGGCAGATTTTTCTTTTTTTTTAAGTAGAACATGAACATAGTCTCAAAAATACATATCCTTGTTGTCTTAACGGCTGGTTTTTCAGTTATCCCCTGGTTTTCTTCACAATCGGTGCAGGTTTTCTTCACAATCAGAGTCACAGGCTGCTGCGGTTTTTCTTCAAACTCTTCCTATTTAAGGAAAGATAGGAATGAGAAAGAATTCTTTTGATCAGCACTATTAAGCCCAAGGAGTCATTTCTGTGTCTGGTCATGGGATGGGAAAGAGAGAGCCATTTCAGATGGGTGTCCCTGGCCTGCTGTAAGGGCAGGGGTTGGAAGACACATGCGCCTACTACCCCCATCCCCCAGAGCCCCAGCTTCACCTCCACTTCCACGTAGGCGTGTGAACGGAGAGGAAAACCCTTGTTCCTGCCCTTACCACTCATTCTGGTAGAGAAGTGGTAAGGGAAGGCTGTTGGGGCAAGAGAAGCTGTAGCCCAGGGTGATGGGAGGAATGACTTGGTCTTGGTTTTGGGTGTAGGTAAGTGCTTGCTGGTATAGAATCACAGAACGGTTTGGGTTGGAAGGGACCTTAAAGACGATCCAGTTCCAACCCCCTGCCATGGGCAGGGACACCTTCCACCAGACCAGGTTGCTCCAAGCCTCATCCAGCCTGGCCTTGGACACTTCCAGGGATGGAGCACCCACAACTTCTCTGGGAACCTGTCCCAGTGCTTCACCACCATGGCTCATGGCAGTCCAAATAATACAGGGGTTTCAAAACCAGTCCAGCTGGCAACAAGTTTTGATTTCTTAGTGTGTGGTTCTGTGAGCATTGAGCATCCGATTCCCCACTGAGTACCTGGGGAACTTAGAGCTTACAGAATTCAGTCCATAGACATTAAGAATCGGCACTTGGAGTTGAAACACCTTTTACAACATTCAAGGTAATATTTTAGGGAAGTTTTGGGTTGGCTCTGTAAGTCCAGTTTCCTTTGTGTTCCGTATAAGGTGTTTGAAAGTATTTTTGTTCACTCATTGATTTCATCCTTCTCGAAGAGACGCATACTAATGATGTTTCTGATGGAGCCTTAACCTACTGCAGATTGCCTTTATTTTATTGTTTTCCTGCACGTACCTGACTCTGTTGCCCTTATTTTGTCTTGCGGTCGCTTCTGCAGGAGCAGTCAGAGGTCAGGGCTCGGTGGTTGTAGGCACTGAACCTAATAACCCCTCACCTTTTTCAGCGGTTTTGTTTGCAGAGTGTTTGCTTCCCGTTATATTGCTATTTCCCCGAGTAATGTGATTTATCTCATTCTGAGCAAAAGATGGGCTCTAAAACACGTGTTTGCGTTCGTGGCGTGTTTCGTTCTTTCACGTGGAAATATTTTCATGTGATCTTGAATGTGATTCTTACCTCATACACACAGAATTGCATAAAATCTGTAGCATCTGCAGCGACAAGAAGTTTATTGGGTGCTGTAGCAGAATGGTTGTGAAGGCTGGGTGTAGAAGGTAGCGATGGTGGAGCTGAATCCTGAAGCGGAATTAAGCATGGACTTTATCTCCCAAACTAATGGACTGTGAAAACAAACTTGTAGGGCCTAATAACAGCAGTAATATTTTATCATTCTTTTGGATATTTATGGCGGGAATAGTTCTTGCATAACAACAGTCATGTGTGGCGTTTGGAGCCCAAATTTTGCAATATGGAAATCTAGAAAAACATGAAAAGGGAACTGCATGTGGACAGTGAAATTGAGTCATCTATTTTAATTGTAAAAGCTGGGAGAAATGTTGAAAAAAAGCCACCAGTAAAAACGGTGAAAGACAGTTTGATTCTTTTCTAAAAAGAAACCCTCTTTTGATCTAAGTCTGAAAAGCTACTTGTATTGCCAATTTTAATTTTATGTTTTAAAAACATGTGATTTTTATCTTAGGCCAGAATTGTTAGTTTTACAGACGCTTATTTGATGCAGATGAATTGGAGTGCCTTCAGGAAAAAAAAAGATAATTGTCAATTTTTTAAAGCTAACAGTGCTTTTAAGATTTTCAGTTTTGGAATAAAGCTGTCTTTCAACTGTTTGTAACTTTGAAAATCTCTCAAACAACAACAACAAAAAAAAGGCAGCAAAAGAAATAGACAGTAAGAAGTCTTCAGGATCAGCATTAAGGAGTCTGGGTTTTGTCTGTGCGACTGGCTGTTGGGATCTTGAAGTTGGAAATCGTTATGTCAACTTGTTTGTTTATCTTCTCAAAATGTCCCTGTGCAGAGCGAGGTACGGCGGTACCCCCCCAGCTTGATGCTAGCACGGCGTCTGCAGATGAAAGTAAACTCCTCGGCCAGAGTAGCTCGTGCCATCCCACTCCGTACAAATCCGCTGCTCCCCACGCCCGCTGGCAGGTATCCCGGTGCAGCGGGATCGGGGGGCGCTGCCCGTGCCCCTGGCCCCGCGTCCCGCCAATCCCCGGCATGCAGGGCACCGAAGGTGTTAATGACAAAGAGAAGTTTATTATGTGCCAGTCAGTGCAGTCTGTCAGCTGGAATATCAGAAGCTGGATTTGACAAGATGGCAGCAGCAAAGTTTTCCATGTGTAGGCTTGAAGTAAAATGTAATTAGCCTTTATGTGCAGAACAAGGATCCATTGATGAATACAGCTGGTCTTTGTTTTCTTCTGTCATTGAGTGTGGGAGGTAAAAGTGTTCTTCTTCATGTTTATTAATACAAGATTCCTTAGACAAATGGCAAGCACAGTTTAATATTTGTTGGAACACAGAGGGGCTTGCCAAAACAGTTGTTGTGTAAGAGGATTTCAAGGTTTTCAGATTATAATCATCTCTGGGTTAAATAAATGAACGATTACTCTGCCTTTTTCAATTAAAGAGGCACATCCTCTCTCAAGGCCTGATACCGATTTTGTTTGCTGTCCCACACGTTTCTATCAGCAAACCTGGATTTAACCAACGCTAATGAGTTCGATCTGGAGACTCTGTCGGAGCTGGAAGGGAAAAGCAAACTGAGACGTGAGTTTCAGGAAAATTAAAGAATGTTGAGGGTTTTTTCCCCCAATGCAACAGACTTCCCCCCCCCCCCCACCCCCCCTTGTTCCTCCATAGAAGAAGAAACATTCTTGTATGCATTTCCTTAGTTTTCCAGGGACAAACAGTTCTTCCTGCTAACATCGCTCTTTCACTTCTGGTGTGCTGCAGAGTGCAAGCAAGTGTTTGGGATTCCCAGCTGAGCGGTTAATGCTCCCAGACAGAATGGTTGAATTCCAGTTTCAGATCAATTCCAGAGCCACCTCTTTGCTCCGACCCCCCTTCTCCCCCAGCCTAAATGAATTCTAATTGGAAAAGGATCTTCGGTTGTAGCACATACAGTAGGCTTGTTACATTGCTGTTAACATGTGGGCTGAGGCTCCCTGCCTTTGATGAAAGAAAATATCGAATTTCACTGAAATGCTGCGTTTTCACCAGTAAATGTTAAGTAGTCTTGTGAGGATTTTAGGTGCTCCACCACCACACGCACACACACACACACCCCCCTTCTGCAATAAATAGCTTTCATAAACAACACAAAGCAAAAAATGTTTAGGTTAAGGTTGTGGGTCAAAGCAGCTCTGCTCCCCCTTCTGTTACCGATGCGATTTTCTGAACGGCGCAGAGTTTTTGTTCTTCTAAAAGTAGCGTATGCAGGGAAAATCACAGAATCACAGAACGGTTTGGGCTGGAAGGGACCTTAAAAGTCATCCAGTTCCAACCCCCTGCCATGGGCAGGGACACCTTGCACTAGACCAGGTTGCTCCAAGCCTCATCCAGCCTGGCCTTGAAAATGCAGTGGAGAAGGAGGTTTTCGTATTTGCCAAAATAGTTGCCCTAAACCAACTACTTCCAATAGCTTGTAGAAACATACTTTGCCTTCCGGTGTATGAAGCAGAGAATTGTCCCTTCATACATTGGGCTGATTACTAGGTTTTTTGGCAGCACGGCTAAGGATGACACAGGAGGGCACGTTGGTGGAGCGTCACTAAGACTGTATGCTGGTGCAATAGTGCAAATTACCCCACCATACAGATCCAGCTGACTTCTTTTAATCCTGAGCTGCATTTTAATGAAAACTAAACCTGGAAACGAACAGAGCGCGGTTGGTAAAAGGGCGGTCTGCGAGCTGGCAGGCGCTGCTTGGCGATAAAGGAGAGTTTTTCATTGGTTCAGGGCCTGAGTCGGAAAACTTGACTCACAGGATTTCAACATCAGTATTTAATACTCCTTTTCTTGCAGCGGTGACAGGCCTCGGTCAGTGAGGCTGGGCACACCGGGGTGGGCACCGCACACGTATCTCTTACAAAGGCCGTCTCTGCCCTGAAGAGCTTACACCATGATACCCTGACAACGGAAAAAGAAGCTAATGAAACAAATAGGTAGAAGCTCAGGAGTGGGAGGACAAAGTAGTGCCTATTTTCATCCCTATATCCTGCTTGAAAATAAATCCTCAAGTAATCTGTAGCAAGTCAGCGGTGGGTGACAGATGGGGAGCGCTGGGCAGGCGGCGACGG